CCACAGCTAAGCCCAGTGGATCTGCAGAGGGGCAATGGAAAATAAACCACAGGCACCTGTGCTGAGCTGTGGGACAGCAGAGCCCCTCACTCAACTGGCATGGCTTCTCTTGCCCTCTGACCTCTCCAGGTCCTTTACGGTGTTTTTTTCTCCCTACATTCCTCAGTGCCACATCTCCATGGCTCTTGAACACCTCCAAGGACAGTGACTGCACCACCTCCCTGGGAAGCCTGTGCCAATGCCTGATATCCAACCTGAACCTCCCCTGGCACAACTTAAGGCCGTAACCTCTTATCTTATCTAGTTCCCTGAGTATCACCCCGTGTCCTGATAACACCTCAAAGAACCTGTTGTAAAGGGATTTGTGCTGAATTGCTTTCCCCCAACCATCTGCCTGGCACCACCTCTTCCTGCTCTCATTGATTATGTTTTCCACACCCATAACTTCCTCCTTACCTTGCTCGCCCTTTGGACCATTCTCCCCATCTCTGCCATTGATGCCAGGTTGGCCTGGTGACCCCGGGATGCCTGGGATGGTGCCATAAGTCTTGCAGAGCGTGGCACTCGCCAGCTGCCCTCCAGTGAGGCAGATCAACACCACCCACACGGTCTGCATCTTGTCTTCCTGCTGGAGCACAGAAGGATGCTGAGGTGCCGCATGGCTTCGGACAGTGGGAGGGATGGGGAAGCACTCTATGCTGCTCTGAAAGAAGATGTCCTCCTGAATGATACCATGAAGGAGGGAAAATATGTTGTTGTAGGGCCAAATCCACTCTCCTCGTGGTCTTGGAGGGACCAGAACTTTTGGGACCTCATCTTATGCACTGCAAAGCATAGAGCCAAATCACTTTGCCAGAGAAGTTTCGGGCTCTTGCTTCCCACTGGCATGCCTGAGGAATAGCTTTAGCCTTTGCAGATATCCCCTCTTAACATCTGTGTTAATTCCCTGTTTGTCCTGCCACATGCCTGATTCATCTGGGATGATGGATCACATCTGTATCTAACCAGCCCTACTGTGACAGCATCTTTCAGAATGGTGCTCATCCCTGACCACCCCTTTGGGCCCCCCTCATTCCCCCTTTCCTTCTCCTCCTTCTCCTAGGTAGGGCAGAAGTTATTAGGGTCCCACCAGAGATCCCCTCCACCCCCAGCCCAGCACTCCCTTTCTGTTCTGCCCCAGCCACCAAGAAGCCCTAGCAGCATTGGGTGACTGTCCCTCCGGTGCTGCCAGGTCCCCCATGTGCTCCTACCTGCAGGAGGGAGCTGGGCTCAGCCTTCCTACTGTCAGCTTCTTGTTGCACGGGATGGGAAATAGAGCAGGACACACTGGTGTCCTGCTTGGAAATGACCCTAAGGGGAAGCAGAAGTTTGCTGTGAGGATAGTTGTGAAAGAATCTGGCCACATCCCTTTTTGTATCTTTAGCTCCAGTCCTTTCTTCAGTGTCACTTTCATATCCCTTATGAATGCTATCAGCTCAGCAGAATGTGAAGACCTGAAGCAGCAACACACAGCCCCATAGGTGCACAGCTCTGGTCCTGGGAAGCAGGGAGATGCCTGCCCTATCCTGCAGGGTCTCTGTGCTTTGCTCAGCTGTTCTGTGCTTGCTCTGAGGAGTATTGCCATCAGCTCTGTGCAAATTCAGGGAGAAAGGAGCGCTGCACAAAGGTGTGTGCTCTTTGCTGGCATCCTTCAGGCTTCTCTGTGCATACCCAGCTATGCTGGGAAATGACACCAGACAGGAGGACATGCCATGGCCTAAGCATCTATAATCTTGAATTGAACCCAAGGCTGGGAATGGGAAATTATTTCACTTTGAGATACGAGCATTTCCAATCCCAATTTCTGCTGATGCCTGTGGTAGTGAAGCACAGAACATTCAGGGGACATGAGCTCTTGCTTCCTACTGTACAAGAGGAATCTCTGTTGGGTTTTGGTGGGTTCTACAGCCTCCACAGCCATAAGCTCCTTCAGTCTGGCTCTTGGGCATCCCCTGCCCTTTCCCCTGAATGGCCCCTTTCTGGTGCAGATACCACAGAGCAAATCTTGCACCCCAGGGCTTTATCACAAAGCCACATCCACCCAGCCCCTCCAACCAAGACCTGGCCACTCTGCACTTTGGCAATGAGAAAATAATGGTCATGCTTGAGGGGGTTCCTTGGGTTCAGCCCCAGGCTGTTTTTTTCTCCCCATCTGTGGTAACCCATCATGCAGCATCTTCTAGCACCCTTTGGCCACTTCTTCCCAGCTAGCAACAAAAGCTCTGTCCCTGCTGCCTGTGCTCTATGCAGTTGGAGGTGGTGGAGCCCTCTGGCTGTGCTCTGAAATTGTTTGGGTAGAGTCCCTGATGAGAATGGGTCCATGGGGGTGTCCCGAGGTTTCGTGGTCAACCATACTGAATCCAGTTGGATGGAAAAGGGAATATCAGAACCCCTTCCTGGAGGACTCTTAGACCCCCTTCTGTGGGCACTGTGTGTGTGTGGTCATGGGAGCAGTCCCTGATGCTTTTGGTGCAGGTGGGGGCCCTGCAGATGGTGATTACGAATGGGAGAGAGGACTCAGGGGTGTCCAGGTTCTGGGCAGACATAATTCACACCTACAGAGGCTCATGTGCACGTCACATCCATATGGCCACACATGGGCTTCACCTGCAGAAAGGTGAGTCGTGAAAATAAAGATGCTCAGCCAGCCACATTGGGGAAGGATTTATTGACGGGGAAGGGGACAGAGCTGTGTGTGCTGGTGAGCCCTGCTTCTCTAGTCTGGGAAGAGCAGGAACCCCGAGAAGATGCTGTCAGATTCACCAGTGCCCACCATGCCATTGTAATCATTCACCTCCAGCCAGACCTGATTCCCAGCCTGCAGATGGAGGAGGACTCCTCCAGAGGTAACCTGGATGCTGTTGGTCTTGTGGTCACAGAAGCTGGCCTTCTTGACCTTGTCCTGGAATAGGAGGGTGCAGAGGTTCCTTTCCATTGAGCTGTGGTAGACAAAGTAGTAGAGGCCGGAGATCTTGCTGGTGAACTTGCCTGTAGTGGTGCTGTAGTCGTTGTTGGTGTTGGTGATGACGTTGTTGAAGATGACAGGGACGTTCTTCATGGGGTGCTCACCAGTCTGTCTTGTCACTGAGAATGCTGACTGGTGCATCCTCTTGAAGCTGCCAGGAAGCCCCTGCTGTCCAGGAGCACCCATCACCCCCTGGTCTCCAGGGGGACCAGCAGGACCGATGGGGCCCATCTTGCCCCTCAAACCTGGGCTGCCCGGCTCCCCCTTCATGCCCTTGGGACCTTGCATAGTAGGAATAGCTGGAATGCCTGTAGGGCAGTGGGAAGTGGAGTCAGCCACAGTGGAAGGACATGGGGAGAAGCATCCCAGCACCTTCCCACCTACCCAGTCTGCACAGTGTGGTGACTTTGCCCTCCTGCAACCGAGGCAGGCTCAGTGCTCACTCACCTGGCTCGCCTTTGGCTCCCTTCAGCCCATCCCGGCCATCCCTGCCTGGCACACCTGGGATGCCTGGCAGGCCTGGAGCCCCATAGCAGTTGTGTGGGGGATCACTGGTCACTGCAGATTCCAGACGCAGAAGTAGGAGGGTGAGGGCAAGATGAAGGAGCTCCCTAAGACTCTGCCCCATTTTGATGCTCTGGATCATGGAAAGGGAAAGAAGTAAAAGGTGCTGGGATGAGGGGCCACAGTAAGGCAGCTTTCAGGACATGGGGCAAAGGAGGCATTTTGCTATGAGGGACACTGCGCCGGGAGCACCTGGCTGTGATGGCTGTGCCTTCAACATCGTTTTCCTATACAAATTGTCAGATGGTATGGGGGCAGATGAGTGGAAGCTCATCGTCAACCCCAGACAGACTGATGAATCCTTGTGGTGCCCATTTCCAGCTCCAAGCTCTCTTGGTTCAGCATCCCAAGCCCTCTGCAGATGTGCAGCCCACTGCAGAGTGCTGCACCCTGCAGCCAGCTGATCTCACCCTTCCCCCAGCAGCAGCCTGACTTTCCTGACTCTGCCCACCAAGATCAAGACCGCATCATTCAAGGGACTCCTGTGGCAATGCTTGGCCCAGGGGCATGAGATGTGTGCAGTTGGGGTGCTGGCAATGCCTCTGCCTCCTCCTCTCACCCCACCCAGCACTGCACCATGCTGCAGGACCCTCATCCACGCAGCCCACCCCAAACAGCTGAGCCCTGCAGCATCTCTTACCTCTGGCACAGGATCCAGCGCTGTGGATCCCTGCCTGCTGCCAGCTCTGCCTGCTGGCTCCAAACGACACAGTGCAATACCCTCCTGAAGGAAGTCGCAGAGTTAGGAAAGCTCCCCATGGGGACACACAGCCTCTCCAGCTGAGTTTCACATCCTCCTGCCTGGCCATTTTCTCTGAGCAAGCACTTTCCTGGTCATCCAGCAAGACTTGCACTCGTGCCAGGATTCACCACTGCAGCAGCAGGGGCTGAGAGGATGGATGTGGGGTGAACCACAAGCAAGAAATGCACCACAAACCGTCCCTCCCTTCCTTCTTATCCTCATCTCATTTCTGAGCAGATAAACAACAAGTTTGGGTGAGGAGCAGAACCTCAAACCACCTCCACAGAGCCAGGACAACTTGTGCAACAAAGGGCTGGTGCAAGAACACTGGGCTGTGATGGGAGAGAGGTGCTGTTGTACGGGCAGCAGGAGCTGATGCTAGTGATTAAAAGACTGCTGCTCCTCGAGGCTGACTTCTCCACCTGCTTGGTGCTCAGGTGCCAGCATCCCAGGTTAGGATGTTGTATCTTCAAGTGGGGAAAGGACAGATATAGGCTAGTCCCAGAAACTTCCCCTGTTCCTCCTCGTAAATGAAGGTTTTGGTTGTATGCCCTGATCTCTCCTGCACAGCTGGGGGTCTATTGGCCAGAAACAAGCTGGGATCACTTCCCTTCTTGGACAGCTTTGGACAACTCAGGACATCATTAGTTTGCTAAAAGTGCGTGGATAGGAAAAGAAAACCCAAACAGCTGTCAGGAAAGAGGTTTATTTGCAGTGATGGGGAGGACATGAGAGGCGGCGCTGGCCTTGTGCCAGGGATGTGCATGCAATGGTTAGAGGCGCAAAAGCAGTTGGCACGCAGTGATTTCACGCAGAGAGCTGGAGACCAGTGATCCCCTCCAGCACGAGGTCTGAGCATGAGGCTGGGAGCCTTTGACCTCCAGGAGGCACTGGGCTGAGCTGCCTGGCTCCTGCAAGCAACGGGGACCTCCGCTGCTCAGTTGGAGGCCATCCCTTTTGCTGTCATATCAGGCCACCCCACGTCCTTGCAGGGCACAAACGCGTGCAGGCACACACACACACAGGTGCTAAGCAGCTCAGATCTGGGCTGACAAATCAAGGGGCTGCCGGTCCATCATCCCAAGTGCGGGTACAGCATGAAGCCGCTGAAGACGCTGTCTGCCTCGGTGCCACGGTAAATCAGGTTGCCCTTTGTTGGGATGGTGTTCACAGACACCCGGTCGCCCGCAGCCAGGCTCAGCACGCTGCTGCCCGAGTTCACCTGCAGGATGTTGCGGCTGTTATTGTCGCAGAAGCTGACCACGCGCTCCGAGTTCTTGGTGATGCTCAGACACAGGTCTCCGTTGGAGATCACTTGGTAGGCGAAGTAGTAAATCCCGGGGATGCTGCAGGTGAACTCCCCGGTTTGGGGGCTGTAGGAGTTCTCCTCGTTGGTGATGATGTTGTCGAACACCACTGTGGTGCCGCGGGACGGTGGCGTCATCCGCGAGGCAGAGAAGGCAGGATGCTGCTGCTGCTGGAAGCTGCCGGCATTCCCCTTGGCCCCTTTGAGCCCCGGCTTCCCTGGCAGTCCTGGAGGACCCGGTGGACCGTGGTAGCCCTGGTTCCCTGGGATGCCAGGAGGCCCCGATTCGCCTTTGTCTCCTTTGGGTCCTCGGATGCCCGTCCTCGGTGCTGATTTCCCTGGGGAGAGGCAGTGGGGAGGCACCATTCATGCTGTGATCAGCATGCCCACAGCATTCCCACATCGCTGGGCTCGCCCTTACCTGGCTCTCCCACATCACCCTTCTGCCCCGGCCTCCCATCAAGGCCGGGGATCCCTGGGAAGCCATCCTTGCCATTCGGTGCCCGACACACATCATCCTCTAGCATTTCCATGCTCAGCACTGCTGCCAGGAAGCTGGTCACCAGCCAAAGGCTGAGCTGCATCGTGTCTCCCTGCAAGCACAGCATGAGGGGTTTGGGGGTGGAAGTGAGCACACAACAAGCATGCACATGGTGCACATAGCAGGGGGTGCAGCTTGAACACAGACATACAAACATAAATATGTGCTTTCCTCCAGATCTGTGGGCACGTGCAATGTGCAGACACAAGCGTGTGCTCAGACACAGACCTACCATGCCACCTATGTGCTGCCTAACTCAGGTAGCCAGATGCCACGCACAGCATTGAAAATAACATTGCTGTTTCATTGCATAATCTGAAATGTTACTGAAAAGCTCTGAGGTGCCCATGGTAGGGCTGTGGGACGTGGAGCAGGGCATAAAACCTCCGGTGCACATCTTGGGGATGAATACATGAAATGCATTCAGTGAGTGTAAAGAGATACAGCAGAATAGAGAGAAACAGGAAAGGGTGGAGAAGGAAAGAAATAAAAGAGCAGGAGCGATGCAGATCCCCAGCACACAGACCTGAGAGGGAGGAGGGACATCCTGAACGTGTATCAAGAGCCTGGAGCAGACCTGCAGAACCCGTGTCTACATCCACATGGTGGACTGAAGGCAGATTGGCTCCTCTGCATCATCTTCTCCCCCTTTTCCTACTTCATATGCTTGTAAACGGGGGCAGGCAGCAAGGGCTGGAGAGAGGTTCTGGAAGAGCTCTACATCCCCACCTATTCAGGGTGACTTACCTCCTTGCTGGGCTGAGAACAGAGCTGTCAGAGATGGCTGCTCCGTTTGCTGGCAGCTCTTCCTTGGGAGCAGGGCTGGGGGGATGGAATTGCATGCACGGAGTTTGCAGAAGAGAGCTGCCAAGTTTCACTTGCTTGCGTGGTTCCCTTTTCTGCGCTCAACCCTGGCTGTGCCAGTAATTGTTGGGAACAGCCTGCTCAGCAAAAGCGCTGACCCCTCAGAGGGAAATCCTGCAGCACAGGGAGGCACAGAGACATGGGCCCAGTGTGGCACAGTGTGAGGTGGCACTGCCATGCGAGGGACAACCCCTGTGAGGTGGTGGGGTGCCCAGTGTCCTCATTTCAGAGCCACCATGCTTGGGGGCCATCGTCTCCATGGCTTCCCAGTTGCCTCCCAGTCCCCTTGGGGGTAAAGTTACCACCCAGACCTGGGCAATCCCTGGAAATATATGTGGCCTGACCCATGCCTGTACAATATCTTGTCACAATTTCCTTTTAAAAGCCCAGGAGGAGGAAATCCCAATGGGCCACAAGTCAAGAAAGTGGGGCAGAAAACTGGCTTGGTTGAAAAGGGAACTTCTCATGGAATTAGGGCAAAAAAGGAAAATATATGACCTCTGGAACTGAGGTCTGGCTTCACAGGGAAAGTACAGAGCAGCAGGGAGGAAACAATAAAACGAAGCCCAACTTGAGTTGACAATGGCCAGTGTGTTCAGACCAGAAAAAAAGAGACATTTTTAAGTAGGTGGTCCAAGGAAAATGTTGAACTGAAGACGTTCACCTGCCTTTTTTTCCTCAGTTTTTGTATTACTGATATATCTTGGGCTGCCTGGACCTAAGAATTGGAAGACCATGACTGGGGGAGCAGTGACTTTCCATCTGAGGTCACAAAAATTGTATGGGACCAGTTGTACCTGTAGAATGTTCCTTAGTCCCTGATGCCTGTTGGGATTCACCCCCGAGTGCTGAAGGAATTAACTGAAATAAGAGCTGGAGCCTTCTCAACAATTAACAAAGATCTTGGGAATCTGGGGATGTCCGTGCTGACCAGAGGCAAACCAACATGATACCCAACTACCAACCAGACAGAAGAGAAGATCCAGGGCATTATGGACCTCAACCTGACCTCAGAACCTGGAAAAATAATGGTGAAGACCACGTGCTATTGAAAAGCATTTAATAACAAAGCTGATGTCGGGGGCCGTCCACATAGCTTCATAAGGGGAAAGTCTTGCTGCAGTAGTTTGATCTCCTGTGATAAGGTGTGAATAAGAGGAAGGTGATGGGTGTAATCTTCCTGGATTTCACCAAGGCCTTTGACACTGTTCCTCATAGCATCCTTCTGGACAAATTGGCTAGCTGTGAGATAAACAAATTCATGCTATGTTGGGCAATGAATTAGCTCAATGACAGGGATCATAGAATTGCAGTGGATGGGATACATCTTGTTGGCAGCAACAGCAGTGTTCTCCACAGCTCAGCTCTAGGAATAGCCCTATTCAGCATCTTCATCAATGATTTGGAGGCAGGAGTCGAATGCATCCTTAGCAAGTTCATTGATGATACTGAAATGGGAGGTACAGCTGACCCTCTATTGGGACAAGAGGCGTTGCAGGATGATCTAGATAGATTGGGCATGAAATTCAACAAAGGTAGATGCTGGGTGCTGTGCCTGGGATGGAGAAATGCCAGACACAGGCACAGGTTGGGAGGTGAGTGTGAACATGTTCAGAGGAGGGCAGTAAAGCTGGTAGAAGGCCTGGAAAGTGTGACCTATGGAAAGATCCTGAGGATAATTGGGTCATTTGGCTGGGAGAAGAATCTATGGTTTTTGTAGGTCCCTTCCAACTGAGCTTTTTATTTCTCTTTCTCCTCTCCTCTCCTCTCCTCTCCTCTTCTCTCCCCTGATTCAATTTGAAAATGAACCACAGAGGCCCTTGAACATAAAACTTTGCTAATCAGTACATCTCCATTAATAGTTACCTTCGGAGATCTGTCACTGAGCTGGTCTTTAATTCACATGCCCTCTTAATGCAATATAATACACACTTTTAATCAAAATGTCAATCCTGTAATAAATCAGATGCTCAGAAGAAAATGCAATTTATTCTATCAACACAGTTCTTCTGTCAACTGGACCTGCAGTCGTGTCAAGAAAAGATGACAGGTGAGCTTGAAAAGACCTACCTTCCTCAAAATGGTGCTTCTGGACAGTAATTGTATTTCTGCCCTAGTACCCTCTGTTAATATACAGCCCAAATGAGAGCACTCCATCATTTCGCCCAGGTTTGATGGATGGCCGTGTCTCGGTGTGCCCGCGTCCTTTGTCCCGTGTCCTTTGACATCCCTTAAATGCTGAACTTAAGGGCCTGGCCGTGGATTTCCAGCATCTCCCGGGAGCTGCTGTTGGGACGGGGGGCGCCGGCAGGTGGCAGTGCGCTCCCAGCCATTCGGTGTCACTTTGCGGCTCGGAGCTCCTCCGCCAAACCCTGCGCTGGAGGTAGCAAGGATGGCAACGGGAAAGCCCAGCTGATGTAAATTGGGTCCGTGCCCAAGGGAGACGGGAAGCTGGGTGCCTATGGGAGGAGCTGTATGGGATGTAGGTGCTCTTAGGAGCCGTGGCTGGTCCCAAATCCAGCCCCACAGCAAACAGCCCTGAGTCCAGGGGGATCCAGAGCCCCCAAGTGAGCGCCCAGAACATCAAAGTGTCCATTTCAGCCTTTGGATGAGCAACCTTCCTCCTCCTTTCGGGACACCCGGGCTCCTTCACCTCCTTCTTGCTCTCCTGTCTGGTGATACCGGGCAATATAACTCAGTGCCAGCCTTGCACCTCTTCATGGAAGAAAAATGACCCCTGCAAAGCCTCCTTGCTGTCTTCCCAGTGCTGGCAACCACACACCAGCTGTCTGACAACAGACAAACAGGGAGAGATGTTCCCCTGCTGCCTTCCCGCTGGGGATCCCCTGCGGTGCTGAGCAGTGACAGGCAGGAGCTGCCAGAGGAGGAAAATCAAGCAGTTAGCACCCGCCTGTCACTGTGTGGGAGGCAGTGACAGAGGCAGGCAGGTGGGACATCATCAGAGCTGTCAGGTATGCACACACCCATCGGCACCCCGGGCTTCCACCCACAGCCGTGGGGATGGGACAGCTTGGAGCATCTGTGTGTCTGCAGTCACTGATGGTTTCACGGTGCCCAAATAAAGAACCCGGCGCATTGGAAAGCGGTGATTTTTTTGCTGCCCAGATGCCCAGCCCCGCTGACCACCAGATAAACACCCTGTGAGATGTGATGGCTTTGGCCATCCTGTGTTTTGATTGATGAAATGAGAAGCCAGGGTGGTTCAGATGCCCTGGAAGGATTTCCTGACGTGCTAGCTGCAAATCAGTCTACGTGGGCACTTGACACTCCATGTTTAAAATGTGTTAATTGCTGTCCCAGGGGATGCGTCATTCCCACGACAGATGCTTTACATGGAGCACGTGTAAGAGACAAAGACAGGTATGGGCTTTAAAAGCCAGGATTTCACGCTCCATCCCTTGCTTGCTGTCTCCTGGCATTGACGAGCATCCCTGTTGGTTCATAGGATGAGAGGAGATAGATGAATGCTGAGCAGCCCTGGGCAATGCTGAGAAAGCTTGTCCCATTCCTCCTCCCCTTGTTCTCTGTTATGGATGTCAGAGTTTTTTGTTATTAGGCATCTACTTGTTAATATGGCTGATTGTTTTTCGTTCTTTAATGTATCTGTTATTTATTTATTCACTTGTGTAACAAGCAGTTTCAGATTGATCACTTTGGCATGTAAATGAGCTGCTCAGCACTCGTCACTGAAATTTGTAGATTGGAAGAGTTTGCAATCAAACACAGCCAGAATCTAAATTACAGCATTTCAGGCAATAATAGCTGGGAGAGGACAAGAAGGATGTGCCATAAATAAGATGGGATCAGAGCAGGGTGCCCAGAGCTATGCTGTCAGCATGCCAGGAGCCCCAAGGCATGCAAAAGCAGTACAGCTTTGCAGTGCTGAGGTGTGCCTGGCAGTGATGGCATCGCTCTGGGGCTGCTTCCCTTTGGGAAAGAGGGGGAAGGGAGAAAGAAAAAGGCTTTGGGGAAATGAAGGGAGCTGGCTTGCAACCAAGCAATTCTTGTGTTGGTCTCTGATGAGGTCTAGTTAGCCTAGAATGTTGAAAAGTATGCACACACAGGACTATGGGCTGCCAAGTGAGTCTGGATATCATATGTGATGCTGATTTGCTTGCCACTATGGGTGATTTTTGGCTTCTTGCCACTACTTGGGGCTTCATCAAAATCCAATGGGTAGACACAAGGCACAGTCCTGCCCATTTCAAGGACAGTAAGGGAGAAAAGCCTTCTTGCAGGCAGCAGGCACTGCATCTGGGCAGAGAAGCCAGTACCTCCCCAAGCCCAGGGTTGGTCGTGCTGGTCATGTTCAGGGTTATACCTCCCTATCCCCATGGCATCCCTAATTAGTAGAGAAGTGATGTTTGCCAGGCACAGTGCTGTGAATCCCACTAGGGATGATGAAAGGACCTCTGGGATCCCCTGCCCAGCTCCTTGCTCGTGGCAGGACTATTCCCAACGTTAGATCAAGATAGCAGTGGCTCTGTCTACATCTTGAAAAACCCACAAGGACAGAAATCTCCCACCTCTCAGAGGACCTGTCACAGGTGAGGGTTAGAGTTAGGGCTAGGGTTAGGAGTAGGGTGATGTTTAGGGTTAGGATGAGGGTTAGGGTTCGGCTCAAGGCTCTGAGGGACGCGCTGGGCAGTGTGACATACCTTTCCAAACCATTTGCCTCCCAGAGCCTGTCCTGCACACACAGCTGAATGTCACCTGCCCTTCCCAGGCTCCTATCAATGCCACGATCTGGCTTTCCTGACATAATGCCTCAAAAAATGGAGTAGAAGTTTCCTGCAGGCAAGTGCTCATGTTAACTGGGTCAGTGGCAGCTGGAGGTCCGTGCTGGCTGGAGACTATTACAACTTATTTCTATTACAGCTCTCTTACCACAGTGGCTTCTCCAGGAACTCAGCTTCCCTCTAAGCGACCTTGGCTGCCGGATCGATCGGAAGTTGCAAACTCACTTCTCACGTCTGCT